AGAATGGTAGCCGGCAATAATAGACGAGGTGAGTCAGAACAGATTTGATGGTCCGCCAGCTCCCTCGTCCCTACTGACGGACCTTGGCTTTTGACAGCAAGTGACAATTGGCGACATAGTGTCCTGCCTCCCCGCAATAGAGGCAGAGTCTTGCCCGCCTCCGACGTTGTCTCTCCTCGGGAGAGAGTCTGGCTTGGCCAATTTGCATGGGCTCTGGATCTGTGGGATTCGGTACCGTTTCTGTTTGCACCGCACTGCGGGGAACGAGTTGCGGTCCAGGCGGCGGATTTCTGTTACCTCTTTCCCTGGCTCGCGCTCGAACTCTGTTATCCAATCTGATAGACAACTTAATTAAATCCTCAAGTGATTCTGGTTCATCTAGTGTGGCTAGTTCATCTTTTAAAGAGTCATTCAAAGCGTCTAAATACACGCTCTTTAAGGCCGAGTCGTTCCAGCCCGAAGCGGCTGCTTGGATGCGAAAATCGATGGAGAAGTCAGCTACAGACTTCTGTCCCTGTTTGAGTTTCAACAGAGCCCTGGAACTTAACGATTTATCAGTCTCTTGGTTAAAGGCTTGTTTGAACTCAGTTATGAACTCGTCAAATGTGCAACCATATTGAGGAATGGACGTGAACTTAACTTCTGCCCAGTCTAGGGCGCGGCCGGACAGATGAGCTATGATATATGAGATCTTAGCCGAATCATGGGGAAACTTATGAGGTGAATGATTGAACTGAATATTGCACTGCATTAAAAATCCCCTGCATCTTCTGGGATCTCCGTCAAACCTTGGAGGACTTGGCAGCTGGCAGTCGGAAAACGTGGTCTGGATCGGGACCGGGGGCTGAGCGGGTTCCTGGGCCGGATCGGGAGCTGAATCCGGAGGAGATGCCTGTCGGAACTTATCGCGGAGAAAATCAGTTAGCTCGGCTAGACGGTTGTTTGTCTCCGACTGTCGCTTCCCCAGTTCTTGAAGTGCGGCTTCATGGCTCTGGATTAGAGTTTGTTGGTGATGAAGCTCTCTCTGAACTGCTTCCGCTGGGTCTTTGGCTTGGCCAGAGTGTTCTGTCATGATGGGTTTGAGACTCTTGACCCACATGCAGAAACACTCAGAGAATGGGTTTAGTCAAAAGGTTTATTTACAGCTCTGACAAAAGAAAAAAGATAGTTGGAGTTTATTCTTTCTTCGGTCCAGGATCCGGGAATTACTGCACACAGGTAGAGAGCAATGGTGAGTTCAAATGCGGATGGGAAACTTCAGTTCTAAGGGAACTCCGTGAGTTCTTACTTGTAGTGGCTGGAGAGCGAGTGGGGAGAGGCAAGCGGAGCCAGGTAGGCAAGGCAATTTCCAGGTTGTGGGCTGCTCAGGTGGTTCACAGGGCTGGAGGGCGGACAGGGTGGTCTAACTCACAAGACCGAGAGGAAACGGTGCAGCAGCGGCACGAGAGGATTCTTCCAAGACTCCGGTAACTCGAACGGTTCCGATGCAACAACCTAGAGAGGATCCACAAAAACAGATTAGACTATGAAGAAGCAACGTAGCAAAATCTCAAGCTGTTTAGCAACACTATGAGGGCTCTGTTTACCACTGCTGGCAAACACTCTGGCGAGGAGGAACTGGCCGCCTGCTGCTCATATACTCCTCACGGTGATGATCATTTCTTGCAGGTGTGTCAACCAAGACCTGTTGGTCCAACCTCTGGGAAAAAACAGCCACAAGGTGCCCTCTGGTGGATAGACCTGGAAAAACACTAACCCAGCCTGGTCCCCAACATTNGGCCAGAGTGTTCTGTCATGATGGGTTTGAGACTCTTGACCCACATGCAGAAACACTCAGAGGAGAATGGGTTTAGTTAAAGGTTTATTTACAGCTCTGACAAAAACAAGATAGTCAGTTGGAGTTTATCTGTCTTCGGTCCAGGATCCGGGGATTACTGCACACAGGTAGAGAGCAATGGTGAGTTCAAATGCGGATGGGAAACTTCAGTTCTAAGGGAACTCCGTGAGTTCTTACTTTTAGTGGCTGGAGAGCGAGCGGGGAGAGGCAAGCGGAGCCAGGTAGGCAAGGCAATTTCCAGGTTGTGGGCTGCTCAGGTGGTTCACAGGGCTGGAGGGCGGACAGGGTGGTCTAACTCACAAGACCGAGAGGAAACGGTGCAGCAGCGGCACGAGAGGATTCCTCCAAGACTCCGGTAACTCGAACGGTTCCGATGCAACAACCTAGAGAGGATCCACAAAAACAGATTAGACTATGAAGAAGCAACGTATCAAAATCTCAAGCTGTTTAGCAACACTATGAGGGCTCTGTTTACCACTGCTGGCAAACACTCTGGCGAGGAGGAACTGGCCGCCTGCTGCTCATATACTCCTCACGGTGATGATCATTTCTTGCAGGTGTGTCAACCAAGACCTGTTGGTCCAACCTCTGGGAAAAAACAGCCACAAGGTGCCCTCTGGTGGATAGACCTGGAAAAACACTAACCCAGCCTGGTCCCCAACAGTACCCTCCCCTCAATGACCGCCACCTGGCGGTCCCGAAGAAGTAGAAGGTTGGGAGGAACGAAAATTGGAAATGAGGGTCGAATCCAAAATAAAGGAACCGGGTACCCACATGCGGTCCTCTGGCCCGTAACCCTCCCAGTCCACCAGGTATTGCCAACCCCGCCCACGACGGCGGGAGTCCACAATCCGGCGGACCGTGTAGGCAGGGTGACCGTCAATGTCGAGGGGGGCAGGGGGCTCAGCAGGGGGGCACAGTGGACTTGAATGGACTGGTTTAATCTGAGAAACGTGAAAGGTAGGATGGATGCGGAGTGAGGGTGGCAGGCGCAGACGGACAGCGGACGGACCGACGAGCTGCTCCACCTCATAGGGTCCAACGAAACGGGGAGACAATTTCTTCGACACGGACTTCAAAGGAATGTCCTTGGCAGAGAGCCAGACCTTCTGGCCAGGAAGGAACGTGGGGGCGGCACGCCTCCTACGATTGGCCCAACGACGATTCTGCTCTGTCGTGCGGTTGAGGGCGACAATAGTCCTGTCCCAGATGGTCTTACACCGGCGAATGTGATGCTGGACAGAGGTTACCGAGATCTCCTTCTCCTCAGCAGAAAAGAGTGGGGGTTGATAACCAAGTGATGCCTCAAAAGGGGAAAAACCTGTAGCAGACGAGCGGTGCGAGTTATGTGCATATTCAACCCACGGTAAGTAAAGGCTCCAGTCGGTTGGGCTTGAAGATGTGAGGCATCTGAGGGTGGCCTCTAACTCCTGATTCAGACGCTCAACTTGGCCATTAGACTGGGGGTGATAACCTGACGTGAGTGAAACCTTGGCACCAAGAGCCGAACAAAAATGTTTCCACACTCGGGAGGAAAACTGTGGACCCCGATCAGAGAGGATCTCCTGTGGGATACCATGCAGCTTAAAGACATGCTTCACGAGCAGCAGAGCAGTCTGAAGGGCTGAGGGAAGCTTCTTTAAAGGGACCAGATGGCAGGCCTTAGAAAAACGATCAATGATTGTTAAAATGGTAGACATACCTTTAGACACGGGTAATCCGGTGACGAAATCAATGGCAACGTGAGACCAAGGTCGCTTGGGGGTGGGCAGGGGTTGCAGCAGGCCGGAGGGAGGCTGGTGGGAAGCCTTGTTTCTGGCACAAATGGAACAGGCCAACACATATTCCCTGACGTCTCTGTGTATGGATGGCCACCAGAAACGACGGTTGATTAGCGCCACCGTTCTGCTGACCCCTGGATGACCTGAAAACTTAGAGGTATGCATCCAGGTTATCAGGCGGGCTCTGACGGATGGGGGAACGTAAATCTTGTTGCTAGGACCAGTGCCAGGATCAGGCTCTGATTGTTGGGCCTGCTTAACCAGGTCTTCTATTTCCCAGGTCACCATGGCGACAGAGCAGCTAGGAGGCAAAATAGGACTGGGTGACTTCTCGGACTCATCTGGAGAATATAACCTGGAGAGAGCATCGGGTTTCACATTTCTGGATCCTGGGCGGTAAGAAATAGACAGATTAAATCGAGAAAAGAACAATGACCATCGGGATTGGCGGGGATTCAGTCTCTTAGCTGATTTGAGGTATGATAAGTTCTTGTGATCAGTCCAAACTAAAACCGGATGTTCTGCACCTTCTAACCAGTGTCTCCACTCTTCCAACGCTAGCTTGATAGCCAGCAACTCCCTGTCACCCACATCATAATTTCTCTCCGCTGGGGAAAGTTTGCGAGAAAAAAAGGCACAAGGGTGGGTCTTGTGATCATTCTCGGAGAACTGGGAGAGAACAGCTCCCACCCCTGTCTCGGAGGCATCTACCTCTAGGATGAACTGCTTAGCGGGGTCAGGTTGTATGAGGATGGGCGCATTAGCAAACAGGGTCTTGAGTTGAGTGAAGGCAGCCTCAGCCTCCGGGGACCAACAGTAAGGAACCTTGGTGGAGGTCAGAGCGGTTAAAGGTTGGGCAGTTAGACTGTAGTTACGAATGAACCGTCTATAAAAATTAGCAAAACCGAGAAACCTTTGCAACTGTTTTCTATTCTCAGGGATAGGCCAGTCTAAGACTGCTCTGATCTTTTCCTCTGTAGGTTTGACCTGTCCGCCCTCTAGAGCATAACCCAGGAACGTGACAGATTGTTTGTGAAACTCACATTTCTCCGCTTTACAAAACAGTTTGTTCTCCAGAAGACGCTGCAGAACTTGGCGGACATGACTCCTGTGCTCGGGTAAGCTCTTAGAATAAATCAGGATATCATCCAAGTAGACAAAAACAAACACGTTTAGAAAGTCTCTTAAGACATCATTTACTAAGGCCTGAAAAAATGCTGGCGCGTTAGTTAGCCCGAAAGGCATCACCAGATACTCGAAATGACCTAGGGGGGTCTTGAATGCCGTCTTCCACTCGTCCCCTTTTCTCATACGGAGCAGATGATACGCGTTTCTCAGGTCAAGCTTAGTAAACAACGTAGCCCCGTGGAGTGGCTCAAACGCTGAAGAGAGAAGTGGTAGAGGATACTTATTTTTAATCGTTATCTGGTTCAAACCTCTATAGTCAATACATGGTCTGAGAGACCCATCTTTTTTGCTGACAAAAAAAAAACCCGCACCCAGAGGTGAAGAGGACGGTCGGATAATCCCTGCAGCTGATGATTCCTTTATGTATCTCTCCATGGTCTCCCTCTCTGGCTTAGAGATGTTATAAAGTCTACTGTTGGGTAGAGGGGCTCCCGGCAGGAGATCAATAGCGCAATCATATGGTCTGTGGGGAGGGAGAGAGGATGCCTTGGATTTACTGAAAACCTGAGCTAAATCATGGTATTCGACGGGCACCCCGGAAATATCTGGAGGGTCAGCCCCATTACTTTCTGCCGGGGGCGGACCTGGAGAAACGGCTGAGCGGAGACAGTGGAAATGACAAAATGCTGACCATGATTCAATGTGTTGGTCTGACCAGTTGATATTAGGATTGTGTTGTTGTAACCATTCAAAACCTAGAATTAGCGGAGAACTTGCCGTAGGAAAGACATAGAAAGATATGGTTTCAGAGTGGTTACCTGAGACTACTAGTTGAACTGGTTTGGTCTTGTGAGTGATCTGTGGAAGTGCCTTACCATCGAGAGCAGACACACGGAGAGGGGTTTGAAGAAGAACGGTCTCTATCTCCAACTGCTGGACTAAACTGGAGTCAAGGAGGTTACGTTCACAACCCGAGTCGAGTAGTGCAGAAATAGGCATGGTGCGGTTATGACAAAGAATGGTAGCCGGCAATAATAGACGAGGTGAGTCAGAACAGATTTGATGGTCCGCCAGCTCCCTCGTCCCTACTGACGGACCTTGGCTTTTGACAGCAAGTGACAATTGGCGACATAGTGTCCTGCCTCCCCGCAATAGAGGCAGAGTCTTGCCCGCCTCCGACGTTGTCTCTCCTCGGGAGAGAGTCTGGCTTGGCCAATTTGCATGGGCTCTGGATCTGTGGGATTCGGTACCGTTTCTGTTTGCACCGCACTGCGGGGAACGAGTTGCGGTCCAGGCGGCGGATTTCTGTTACCTCTTTCCCTGGCTCGCGCTCGAACTCTGTTATCCAATCTGATAGACAACTTAATTAAATCCTCAAGTGATTCTGGTTCATCTAGTGTGGCTAGTTCATCTTTTAAAGAGTCATTCAAAGCGTCTAAATACACGCTCTTTAAGGCCGAGTCGTTCCAGCCCGAAGCGGCTGCTTGGATGCGAAAATCAATGGAGAAGTCAGCTACAGACTTCTGTTCCTGTTTGAGTTTCAACAGAGCCCTGGAACTTAACGATTTATCTGTCTCTTGGTTAAAGGCTTGTTTGAACTCAGTTATGAACTCGTCAAATGTGCAACCATATTGGGGAATGGACGTGAACTTAACCTCTGCCCAGTCTAGGGCGCGACCTCACAGATGTGCTATGATATATGAAATCTTAGCTGAATCATGGGGAAACTTATGAGGTGAATGATTGAACTGAATATTGCACTGCATTAAAAATCCCCTGCATCTTCTGGGATCTCCGTCAAACCTTGGAGGACTTGGCAGCTGGCAGTCGGAAAATGTGGTCTGGATCGGGACCGGGGGCTGAGCGGGTCCCTGGGCCGGATCTGGAGTTGAATCCGGAGGAGATGCCTGTCGAAACTTATCGTGGAGAAAATCAGTTAGCTCGGCTAGACGGTTGTTTGTCTCCGACTGTCGCTTCCCCAGTTCTTGAAGTGCGGCTTCATGGCTCTGGATTAGAGTTTGTTGGTGATGAAGCTCTCTCTGAATTGCTTCCGCTGGGTCTTTGGCTTGGCCAGAGTGTTCTGTCATGATGGGTTTGAGACTCTTGACCCACATGCAGAAACACTCAGAGAATGGGTTTAGTCAAAAGGTTTATTTACAGCTCTGACAAAAGAAAAAAGATAGTTGGAGTTTATTCTTTCTTCGGTCCAGGATCCGGGAATTATTGTAGTAGCTGGAGAGCGAGTGGGGAGAGGCAAGCGGAGCCAGGTAGGCAAGGCAATTTCCAGGTTGTGGGCTGCTCAGGTGGTTCACAGGGCTGGAGGGCGGACAGGGTGGTCTAACTCACAAGACCGAGAGGAAACGGTGCAGCAGCGGCACGAGAGGATTCTTCCAAGACTCCGGTAACTCGAACGGTTCCGATGCAACAACCTAGAGAGGATCCACAAAAACAGATTAGACTATGAAGAAGCAACGTAGCAAAATCTCAAGCTGTTTAGCAACACTATGAGGGCTCTGTTTACCACTGCTGGCAAACACTCTGGCGAGGAGGAACTGGCCGCCTGCTGCTCATATACTCCTCACGGTGATGATCATTTCTTGCAGGTGTGTCAACCAAGACCTGTTGGTCCAACCTCTGGGAAAAAACAGCCACAAGGTGCCCTCTGGTGGATAGACCTGGAAAAACACTAACCCAGCCTGGTCCCCAACAGACTCTCTGGGTCATTCCAGGCCAGAACACTAATATTATTATTACTTCCAGTCACCAGAAACATGTT